CACTGTGTTGGCAGAAAGAAATAAAAAGTTGTTGTAATGAAATAATAAGTTCTGTAACTGGGTAAAAATATAAAATAATTCCACTTCAGAATAGCTCAACAAGTTACAAGTATCATTATTGTATAATAAATAGTAAACATGTTGAGAGAGAAATTAATACAAAGATACAAAAAAAAACTTGAAGAGAGCACAAACTATATGTTACAACACATGTACTACCAAACGACTAGTGATAGTTCGGTAGAATTGAATAGAGGGAGTCACGCACATCACGAGTGTGTGTTGCACTCTTATTGGTGTAGGATTGTTGCATGATGATTTGCATGTGACACGCATTTGAATAAGTCCATTCAAAGATGGGTGGGAGCTTCAAGACTTGTAAAAAAAAGTTTTTGCACATAGAAAGCTGCAGTGAATAAGAATAGCTATTTATGTGAGTGGAGGTAATGTAGCGTATCATAAAATGAAAGTAAGAAGAATAGCAAATTAATATAAATTAATAGCCAAACAATCATACTAATTACTTCATACCTAGAGAAATGTTTTATATCTGTTTATTAGTTAATGTTATAATTTATATATGATTCATAACTTTAAAAATGAAATAAATAGTAATGATCATAGAGAGAATAAGGCCTTAACCAAACTTTCCTGTTATTATAGTATTAACTGCATGTTATATGACAGGCACAAATAATGATGTTGAAGACTGTATATTCTATCACCAAGAAAAGGGAAACACCAACTTGATAATGAAAAAATAATAATAATATAGCTTATGACATGATCACTCACACAGATATATGTTTCAAGAGTAGGGATGTCATGGATGATGTCATCGATTAATTGAAATCAGTTATCTATGATCAGTGATTACATTGATCCGTTTCACAAAAACTAATCAATTGATTGATATTCTCATTATATTATCTATCACAAAATCTCTTTATCATGGATGTCTACAAGGCCCATAAATATGCTTGTGAACAACAGATGGTAGTTCACTCAATACAATTCTGGAGGCCAATATTGTTAAACTTTGACTCATCAGTACACATAATGGATGTGGAAAAAAGTGTAGAGGCCCTTCAGTCCAAATGTCTACCCAATGGTCAAATACTGATGCTGTAATACCATGGTATGGAGTGGTATGTCAATTATGGCAAAACCTACATGATATTTATTGAAGTTTAATTCAGTAAACTACACGAGATCCTTTCAGCCAATCTCCTACCATTGTTTACCCTGGGTTGCCTTTATCATGGTACACATTCTTTAGGAGGATGAAGCAATGTACCATGCTACTGGAACAATCTTTCTATAGAAGATATAACAAGATCTCAAGCTTCTTCCCTGGGCTTCACAAAAACCTGATATAAATCCTAAACAACAAGGTCTCAAACTTCTTCCCTGGGCTTCACAAAAACCTGATATAAATCCTAAACAACAAGGTATCCAGCTTCTTCCCTGGGCTTCACAAAAACCTGAAATAAATCCTAAACAACAAGGTCTCTAGCTTCTTCCCTGGGCTTCACAAAAAACCTGATATAAATCCTAAACAACAAGGTCTCCAGCTTTTTCCCTGGGCTTCACAAAAACCTGATATAAATCCTATAAGACAAACTATCCAGCTTCTTCCCTGGGCTTCACAGCAATAGTTGTTCTATAGGATTTGTATCAGGTCTCTAAAGCCCAGGGAAGAAGCTGGATAGTTTGTCTTATAGGATTTATATCAGGTTTTTGTGAAGCCCAGGGAAGAAGCTGGATAGTTTGTCTT